GCAGCATAAACAATTTATTGAAGTCTACTTAGAGAAATCTGGCCAATTAATGGTCAGGACTAAATTGGTGCTAAATAAGGGAAGGGAAATCCAGAGGAATTGGACTCGGATCTCTTGTGAAAAAGTAAGGATTCTAGATTCACCACCCAGGAATTCCACCCACACAGGGAACTATCTATTCCTGCCTAAGTGTCAAAAGAAAAGAGGAATGTTAATACAGTACAACTCTCATGCAAATTTGACTTTATACTTAACAGGAAGTCGATGCTACTTGCTTTATTATTATTATTTTGTTGCAGTTACAGCCTACTTTTCTTTTCGGAATGCTTTTTAGTAGACACAACTCTCTCTCCACCATTTCTATTCCCCACTATATGAATACTGTGGGGTAGGTTGGGCTGATATTGAGGGAGCTGTCCGTAGTCATGAACTGCCTCTTGTCGTTCATCGTATAATGGGGAGGAATCAACTGTGTTATCAAAGACAAGAAAATACCCTTCGTATGGGTTCCTTGGTGTACTCTGAGATTGTTTTCTTGCAGATGTACCCATCCATCCATCCATCTCTCTCTCCACCCATATCTATCTATCTATCTATCTATCTATCTATCTATCTATCTATCTCCCTATTCCTCTCTTCCATCCCTATCTACATCATCTATCTATCTATCTATCTATCTATCTATCTATCTATCTATCTATCTATCTATCTATCTATCCCTCTCTTCCATCCATATCCATATCTTCCTATCTATCTATCTATCATCTATCTATCTATCTATCTATCTATCTATCTATCTATCTATCTATCTATCTCTATCTATCATCTATCTCTAATCTATTCCTCTCTTCCATCCCTATATATCATCTATCTATCTATCTATCTATCTATCTATCTATCTATCCCTCTCTTCCATCCATATTTCCATCTCTCCATCATCTCCATATCTATCTATCTATCTATCTATCTATCTATCTATCTATCTATCTATCTATCTATCCCTCTTCCATCGATATCTCCATATCTTCCTATCTACCTACCTACCCTAATCTATTCCTCTCTTCCATCCCTATGTATCATCTATCTATCTATCTATCCCTCTCTTCCATCCATATCTCCATCTCTCCATCATCTCCATATCTCCATCTCTCTCTCTCTCCCCCTCCCTCCCTCCCTCCCTCCCTCTCTCTCTCTCTCTCCTAGCCAGCTAGCCAGTATTTCATGATAACAAAGTCCTGTGAGTTTTTTCACTATCCTCTTTTAAAAAGAATCTCTAGGGCCCGGCCCCAAATGTTGGCATCAGTGTAGGATTAGCATTCCTGGTGTTAACTTTAGCAAGTGGGCAAATATTCGAAACTCGTCAGATTAAAAAAAAAAAAGCGAGGGTTTCGACCCATTTTCTTCCCCTCTCTGCATCGCAGGTGGCATAAAAATAGACTTCTTTTGTTTCCATAATGGATTTTACAAAGCAATTGAGGTGGGTTGGCAGCTCTGCAATCTGACAAAACAAATATTTCTTTTCACTGAAAAGTACATATGAGTTTTCTCTCCTATCACCCAAAAAAATCTCCCAAAGCTTTTCAGAACCCAGCGCACGTCCACTCCTCTTTGCAACTCATTTTCCCCTCTTTTTGTGACAACTGAGGCAATAATTCACAGCTCACTGGGTCTCCTAAATAACCCCCTTTATATTAACATGGTTGACATTCCCCCATGCCCAGCAGGGATCAACGGCACTGGCAGGCGCCCATGAGGGATTCTTAAGACTTTGGAGGTTTAAACATAACAGTCCCAAAAGTCTCTCTGTCTCTCTGTGTGTGTATGCATGCGCGTTCACGTCGCGACCATCTCAAAACTCAAAAATGGAAGAATAACATAACTTTGTCATTTTGCAATTTCCAAGTATTTTTTTCCCTTTCCCTGGCTCTCATTCAGACTCCTTTCACAAGTGTTTTCAAGTCAGATAGGCTTCACCCTGCTGAGAAACTGGTCCTTTCTCTTCCCTTCCCCTCCCCTATACTAGAGTCAAATGTCCTTCCTTCCTTCCTTCCTTCCTTCCTTCCTTCCTTCCTTCCTTCCTTCCTTCCTTCCTTCCCTCCCTCCCTCCCTCCCTCCCTCCCTCCCTCCCTCCCTCCCTCCTAGTGGTTAGAATGCAGTATTGCAGGCTAACTCTGCCCACAGTCAGGAGTTCAAACCTTACCAGGCTCAAGGTTGACTCAGCCTTCCATCCTTCCGAGGTGGGTAAAATGAGGACCCAGACTCTGACTCTGTAAACCACTTAGAGAGGGCTGTAAAGCACTGTGAAGTGGTATATAACTCTAAGGGCTATTGCTGTTCCTTCCTTCCTTCCTTCCTTCCTTCCTTCCTTCCTTCCTTCCTTCCTTCCTCCCTCCCTCCCTCCCTCCCTCCCTCTTTTCACTTTTATGGTAGCTGGAATATGTGGTATGATTGGATCCAGAAACGATGGGAGAGAGAGACAAAGATAATGTTGGATTATAATTATAGATGATGGTATATTTATGGTAATTAATAAGTATTGGAAAGGTAAATTTCTATACAAGAATTTGTAAATATTTTCTATTTTTACTCTCTGATTATTGGCGCAAATATATATGGATATTTTGGCAAAGTTACACTGTAATAGAAAAATTATTATACATTTATTTTTGATTTTTTGTTTTTTTGAACTATAATAAATTTTTTTTAAAAAAAATCACTTTTTTTCAGTGGCGTTGTAAGTTTGAACAGTCACTAAACGATCTGTCATAAGTCAAGGACTACCTGTACTTTGTGAAATATTACATGGTTACAACCAGTTTAACCTTCTCGCCAATGAACTCACCGTACTGTTGTAAGTTTTAGGTTTAATGCAATTATTTATTACTGAAGACAGTATTTAGGTTAACACGGAGTCTTTCCTCATGGTAAAAAAAAAAAAGAAGAAGAAGAAAAATTAATAATAAATGTATTTTTTTTTATAAAAAGGACCACCTCCAGGAATGGGAATAGATACTAATTGCTCAAGTTACTAGTCATCCATGAAGCATATGCTAAGTGTAACCCAAACAGGCCAGAAATGACTTCAACAGTTGTAAATCTTTTACAGCTACAATTATGTGTGAGCACTGGTAGAATTTATTTATTTTTTTTAAAAAAAGCCCCATTCAACAGCTGGAGTCAGGTAGGTTTACCAAAGTGAAATTGCAAAATTAAATTTAGATGAACTTAATTAAAAAATAGGGGGGGGGGTATCCAATTTAATGCCGACATCCATCACAGCCTCATTGAAATCCTTTCTGGTCGCAAGAAAATAAATTAAGGCATGAATTCCAAAGCCACAGAAAGGAGGGACTGAAGTGTGAGTGGATGGAGAAGGGAAATCATTTATCCAGGAGGAATTTTCTGAGCCCTCAGATGGAAATGTTCACCCAGCTATAATTACTGAAGTTAACAGATTTAATGGAGTTGGAAGGGACCTTGTAGGTCATCTAGATCAACCCCGCCCCCACCAAGCAGGAGACCCTACACCATTTCTGACAGATGGCAGTCCAGTCTCTTCTTGAAAGCCTCCAGTGAGGAAGCTCTCACAGCTTTTGAAGGCAACTTCTGTTCCATTGGTTGATTGTTCTCACGGTCAGGAAATTTCTCCTTATTTCTAGGTTGAATCCAGTGGTCAAATCCATTTTTTTTTATTACCGGTTCTGTGGGCGTGGCTTGGTGGACGTGGTGTGGCTTGATGGGTGTGGCAGGGGAAGGATACTGCAAAATCTCCATTCCCTCCCCACTCCTGGGGGAAAGATACTGCAAAATCCCAATTCCCTCCCCATTCCTGGGAGAAAGATATTGCAAAATCCCCATTCCCTCCCCACTCCTGCGGGAAGCATACTGCAAAATCCCCATTCCCTCCCCACTCCAGGGGAAGGATACTGCAAAATCCCCATTCCCTCCCCACTCCAGGGGAAGGATACTGCAAAATCCCCATTCTCTCCCCACTCCAGGGAAAGGACACTACAAAATCACCATTCCCATCCCACTCCAGGAGAAGGATCTTGCAAAATTCTCACCCTACTCTGGGGTCGGCCAGAAGTGGTATTTGCCAGTTCTCCAAACTACTCAAAATTTCCGCTACCAGTTCTCCAGAACCTGCTGGATTTCACCTCTGGTTGAATCTCTCCTTGTTCAGTTTCCATCCATTATTCCTTGATTGGCCTTCGGGTGCTTTGGAAAATAGCTTGACCCCCTTCCTCCTCTCTGGGGCAGCCCATCAAGTATTGGAAGACTGCTATCATGTCTCCCCTGGTCCTTCTCTTCACTAGATTAGCCATGCCCAGTTCCTGCCACCGTTCATCGTATGTTTTAGCCTCCAGTCCCCTAATCATCTTGGTTGCTCTTCTCTGCACTTTTTCTAGAGTCTCAACCTCTTTTTTATAAACTGCACCTCTTGAAAACCAGTTCCTCTTAACCAGTGGTGGAATGCTGCTGGTTTAATAACCGGTTTGGTGAATGCATGCTTCTCGCTGAAAATGGAGCATTTAGAAGCTCAGCTGCTTACCTTCCACGTCAGCAGTGGTAAGTAGAACAGCGAGGGGGGGGGAGGGAATCATCTGTGTCCCATGATTGAGATGAGCTAGAAACTAGGAAATAAAGGACCGGATAGGGCGGGGTGGGTGGGCGGGCAGGGCAGGACCAGCTGATTATCGGATTGTCAGCCCGAACTGGCTGAATACCACTTGTGCTCTTAACCCTTCGCAGATCTCCTGCGAATCAACTGATGCCTCCCTGGGAGATTCCCGCATGTTGATATATAAATTATTATGTTTATGGTTTGACATCTTCAGAAGATATTAAAGACTGACAGACACAGGCTTCTCCTCCCTGAGAAGAAATATTTTTGGCTTTCTCCTTGTCTAAACAGCCTGATCATTGACAGGAAGGAAATGTTTTGTGCTCCTCCAAACAACCAGAGAATATTTAATATTGCAAATATTTGCAGGCCTTACCATGGTATTCAACCTTTGGTTATGGAGGTCTCAAACCAGTTGTCTTCAGCTCAAATGGGAGAACCTGTCAACGAAAAGGCAAAAAAAGAGAAAAGATTTAAATGTATGCATTTGGATATGTGCAATATTTTAAAACCTCCGCTTACTAAATGGAATGGAATGGAATGGAATGGAATGGAATGGAATAGAATGGAATGGAATGGAATGGAATAGAATAGAATAGAATAGAATAGAATAGAATAGAATAGAATAGAATAGAATAGAATAGAATAGAATAGAATAGAATAGAATAGAATAGAATAGAATAGAATTCTTTTATTGGCCAAGTGTGATTGGACACACAAGGAATTTGTCCTTGGTGCATATGCTCTCAGTGTACATAAGGAAAAAATAAAATATATTCATCAAGAATCATAAGATACAACACTTAGTGATAGTCATAGGATACTAATAAGCAATCAAATCATAGTAGGAAACAATAAAAACAATATAAGTTGTAAAGATACAAGCAACATGGATGTAGCCATAAGTGGGAAGAGATTGATAAATAGCTACAGTATAGGAACAAGAATACAGGAAGGCTTTGACTTATGACCCGCAATGGAGTCCAAAATTTCCATTGCTAAGCAAGACAGTTCTTAAGGGAGGGGGTTTGCCCCATTTTACAGCCTTTCTCGCCACCGTCGTTAAATGAATCGCCGCAGTTGTTAAATAAGTAACACGGCTGTTGGGTGAATCTGGCTTCCGCATTGACTTTGCTTGCGGGAAGGTTGCAAAAGGGAATCGCGTGACGTCAGGACACTGCAACTGTCATAAGTACACGCCAGTTGCCAAGCCTCTGAATTTCGATCATGTGACAATCACGTGACGGTGCAGACACTACAACGGTTGTAAGTTTGAAAAATGATAATAAATCCCTTTTTTCGGTGCCATTATAACTTCAAACGGTCACTAAACTACCTGTAGATAAATCACCATGGCAAAGTTAATGATGAAAACGACTAAATTAGGAATGGACTTTCCAGCCTTCCCACATCTTAACTATGGATTTGCCCACAGCACTGATTGAATAGACGCATTGAATTTTCATGAATGCAATTTCAACCATCTAACTAAGCAGGAACAACAGAACACGGCATGGTTAGTTTTAATAAAGAGTATTAAAAAACATTTTTTGAAAGGTCAGTGGAGGTAGTGAAAGGACCTGATGACCATATCTAAAATTAATGATTAATATATATATATTAATATATATATTACCAGTTATTTAATTAAAATTTCTTAGGAGATTGCCTGGTTCTGGGAGAGGAGAGTAATTTCTTCCAGTGGGAACTTTTTTTTCTCAAGCTAAAAAAAAATTACTTGGCGCCTTTTACAAAAATTCGAAATAATAACGATCCAATAATACCCTTTAAAACACAGGCTGGATTTGGACTCACGATCTCTCTACCCCAAAAAGCTTTGGATGGAGCCCCAGAACCTGTCCAAAAAAAACCCCCTACAGCTGAATTTTTAATTTTTTTTAATGCGGCAGAAGGGGGAAGTGATTAAATACGTGGGAATGATTATATTAACTGCACTTAATTAATGTAATTGCTTTTTAATTAAAAGTTAATCTAAATTACATGGAAGGAAATTTAGTTTTTGTCCAGGTCTTGCTACTTTATCTTGACCTTGTCTGCTTTCTGGAAAGGGATCGGCTGAGCATCATTCAATAGCCATGCTTAGCGTGGACCCATGGTGGGGTGTGGTGGTGGGGGGGGACCCACTGCTCTTAAGAAAACCTACTCTACAGTAGTGGCCAAAATTGTGGAAACCTTTTGGGAAAAGTGTATTTTTGAGGTTTGATGGCTAATAACACCACTTTTTCTTTTTTGGAGTTTCAAGATAATCCTATTCCACTGTTGGAATGGCCTGGGAATAGCCCAGACCTTAACCCAATTGGAAATCTATGGAGCCGACTAAAGAAACTGTTTTTTTTTTTAAATGTGGTTTGATTGAAAGTGCTGGAAGCTGCAGAAAGCTGATATTTAGTTATATAATTTGTGGCAGAAATTCTCAGAGATCCCTGAGGCTCAGGCGAAAGTCAGAGCTGGGATGTGGTTACCGAAGGGCCTTAAGGATTAGATTAAAATTTGTCGTAACTGGGAAGTGTTGTTTTTCTTCCAAATCTATGACTTGAGCTAACAAATCACCCAGTTGTTAAATGAAGCCAGCTTCTTCCTTTGACATTGCTTGTCGGTTGGGAAGATCGCAAATGATCACATGATCCCCGGTTGCTCCAACCACCGTAAATACATGCCAAGGGCTTGAATTTTGATCACGTGACCGTGGGGGGGGGGAATGCTGCAACGGTCGTAAGTGCGAGGATCAGTTGTGGGTCACTTTTTTCAGTGCCGTTATAACTTCTTTGAATAGGTAGTCCTCATTTAGTGACCACAGCTAGGACCAGCCACTTGGTCGTTAAAGCGAGGTGCTTACTAAGGGAAATCGTGACCGTGCTTACAATTGTACTTCAGCTTTCTTTTGCTTTTACAGACTGGCAAAGATCATCAATGGCCTGGATTGGCCATAAAGTTACTTTTTCATCTCTGGTTGCTAAATGGTAGTCTTTGTTTAGTGAAGTGTTACAAAATGAGGATTACAGTCCTTCCTTTCTCCTTCTCTCTCTCTCTCTCTTTTCTTTTTTCTTTCTTTCTTTCTTTCTTTATTCTTTCTTTCTTTCTTTCTTTCTTTCTTTCTTTCTTTCTTTCTTTCCTTCCTTCCTTCCTTCCTTCCTTCCTCCCTCCCTCCCTCCTTTTCCATTTTCCTTCCCCTTTCCTTCTTTTCTTCCTTCTTCCTTCCTTCCACCCTCCCTTCCATCCTCCCTTCCATCTTTCCTTCCTTCCTTCTTCCTTCTTCCCTTTTCCCTTTTCCTTCCCCTTCCTTCCTTCCTTCCTCTTTCTTTCTTTCTTTCTTTCTTCCTTCCTTCCTCCCTCCCTCCCTCCCTCCCTCCTTTTCCATTTTCCTTCCCCTTTCCTTTTCTTCCTTCCTTCCTTCCTTCCTTCCATCCATCCATCCTCCCTTCCATCCATCCAATTTTCCTTTCCTTTCTTTGTCCCTCCCTCCCCCTCCTCCTCTTCCTCCCTTCTCCTTCCTTCCTTCCTTCCTTCCTTCCTTCCTTCCTTCCTTCCTTCCTTCTTTCTTCTCATTTCTTTTGCATTCATATAGCTGTTTGGGCTACAGAAGAACTAGAGTCCTTTCTTAAGAGGAGAAGAAAAGAAAAGACAGTTTGGAAGAAGAGTTTTTTTTTTAAAAAAAGAGAGAAGAGAGAAAGTTCTCTTCTATAGAAGTGAAAGGAGAAAAGGAGATAAAGGCTCTGCTTGATTCAACATAAAAGGGACAGCAGCAACAACAAGCTGCCAGTTATGCTCCGTGAAGCAAATGCCATCAAAGTGAATGGGAGCTATCCAGGAATGCTGCTGAGCTCTTGTGCAGCCCCCATTTACACCCATGGAATTTACATGCTCAGCAGAACTTTCTGGCAGTTTTTGTTCCAAGAGAGAGAGAGGGGGGGGAAGAGAAAGAAATGAGGAGCAGAGTGCTTTACAGTTCAATCCAAACCCATTAAACCGTACTAGGGAGAGGGAGTGTGGGAGTTTCAGTAGACGGTGGACTTCAGAATAAAAATTAGCACCAGATAGTAAAAGGAGAGAAGGGGAATTGAAAAGAGAACCTCCATTGGGGAAACTGGCAGAAGGAGCTGCATTTCTAAGCGAGAACAGGTCATTGTCAGGCATGTGGAGTTTTTCTGCAAAACGCTGTCGTAAATGCAGCTGTTTTATAATAAAACACATAACGAATGTACTAATTCACAGTTCATCAAAGGAAACCCGTTAAACCCGTTAAAAAGGCAGCACTGAGCCCCCAAACTTTCTCCAAAAGTCAAAAAACAAAAAACGGATTATGCAAAACGTTGTCTTAAATGCAGCTGTTTTATAATAAAAAATGTAACTAATTTACTAATTCAGGAAATAGCCCTCGGTCAACAAAGTTCAGCGTAGGAACTAGGAAAGTAGGAAATGCAGCAAGAGCTGCAAACTTTCTCCAAAAGTTAAAAAAAAAAGTATTTTTTTAAAAATGGATTGTGTGTTTTTCATCTAGTTGAGTCTGAGGTTAAATGTTTAATTTAATATAATTATTATACTGTATATCTTGTACATATAATTATATACATACAGTATAATACTAAGGTTATGTTGTTTCTCTGTGTCATATAATATATGTGGATATCGAAAACCACTCACACATTAATCACAAAATCTCCAGAACCGTAAAGCCTACAAACTTGAAATTTGCCATGTATGTTCCTCTTGGCTTCTAGGTGCTCACTAAGAAAGGATTTTTCGAAATGACCATCAGAGCATTAGTATTTCCCATATTGTTATTAACACGGTCTGATGCTAAGGAGTTCTACTCCCCCTTCCCACCTCAAAAGAAATCTGTTCCAAATGCAAAACACAAGCAGAGGAGAGGAGTTTCACTTTCAGTTTTACTTTCACAGCAAGAAGCAGCTTTACTACAGAACAGTTGAGCTAAGCCACGGCCAGCCTCCTTCCTGTCTCCTTCTTGCTCACACAGCAAATACTGTTTGAGTTTCCAAACACCCCTCAACTTTCTCACATACTGACAGGATGCTAGCCAGATGAATACCGATAGATGCTGCGGGCTAGGACATTCTACTCCCTCTCCCCCTCTGTTCTAACTGCCAGTTGCATTATATTAACACACTCTGATGCTACAGAGTTACACCTTCTACATTAAGATTCAGGCTGCAAGTGTCAATTTATCAAGCCCAAGCGCATAGTTTCATAGCGAAGCACGGGTGTCCAGCTTATATATATATATATAATATTCATGTTTATGTACTGTATGTTAGAGGTGGAGACCCTTTGCAAGCCGTATGCAATGGGATTTCATTTTAAATATACTGATTCAAAGTGACACTAAAGTTATTCTAAGTATAAGTATAAGTCTTCAGGTTGAACCAAAAATGGATATGGAAATCTAGAAATACTCACAAAA